ACCAAGTTTATCCGGCATTACTTAAGTCTGCATTAGGTCTACCATGTGTCTTGAATAAATTGACGGATCTGTGAACTACGTAATTTATGTAAAGACTGCCAAACAGGGCATAAACATATAGTATTACCTTCTGTGCAAAATAAACCATCCGCAACATCAGATGAAATGAACAGTGATAATACATTAATTTTGAAACAACGATAACTTGTATCAATATTTCAGTTAATCCGCTTGCGCATCCTTTTCTCTTTAAAAACTTTCTTCAAGTCAACCCGATAGAAAAAGTGTTGCAACAGTTAGAACGATAAAATTATCCAGTAGGTGATCAAAAATTAGTGCTTGAGGTTTTGAAGGAGTGGCATTTTAGTAGACCCTTAAACTCAGTATTAAACCGATGGAAAATAATAGTATAGTTATGTCTAACGGCATTAATGCACTTTTAAAACTGATATATCACGATGTCGAAGAATAGGGTACACGAGCACTGGAAGTTATTCAATAAGCATACAAAATAGAAGTCTCCATATGCATATTCACTGAAGTTGGCGAGCTATGCAACACATACAAACTACACAATTTCTACATATTTTATTAAAAAGGTACTAACCACAGCGGAGGCGTTTTCATAGCAGTAGGATAACATCTCAAGGCATTGCGTATCAAGATAGATATATAAAATATATTCGTTATCTATATTGCAGAACTCTCAGAACCAGTACGTATAATAGGTGTTTACTGACCGAATAGTCAATAACGCAATCTTGATGACATTCTTCCATCATTCGTGCAAGGTACTATTCCCATTGGTGATTTTAACGCAGCAATGAGAGAATGGAGCAGCCCTTCCGCGGATAAGAGAGAAACTCGTCTGAAAAATTGGATTGAAGAGAATAATCTCAATTATATACCATTGACATCATATTCATCAAAACGCTCGATGCGCAATATAGATTTATCCTTCTCAAATACGACAACTATTTCATGTGAAACATTGCGCTTCCGTATAGGGATATACCAATTCCAATTTCAAGCATTGGAACTGGTCAGAAGTAGAATAGATGCATTTCTACTTCGGTACCAGTGACCACTGGTCTCTTGTTCTGACTTGTGAAAATAATTTTTCGATATAAGAGTCATTTTCTTCTAAACCAACTGTCAAGAACAGACTAACAAAATGAAAGCAAAAAGAGAAATATAAACTAGCATTATCTCATAATGTAATCGAAAAATTATTTGAAGTCAAAAAAAATCATGAAATAAAAATATTATCATCGACATCAAAATGACTTCTTGTGTGAAGGAAGAAGAGAACTTCTACGAATCTTCTCAAGAGAAATAAAAAGGAAAAGAAAGGAAAGTACAATTCTGGTGAATGGGAAGATTGTCTAGTCAAAATTCAACAGACGCATGCTATTAGTATGGATAAAATGTTTTGGTCTTATCTGTTTCGTATCTATACATCATGCACGCAACCATTTTATAAACTATTCAGTGCTAATAAAGTACTATCAAAACACAACGAAATTTCAAAAGAATTACATAACTATTACAGTGAGCAGTAAAGACCTCGTCAATCGATTATGTAAATGCATATGAAGTGAAAATTTACAGGGAATTCATTGAAATATTTAGAATATTATTAAATTCTAATGATCACATAAAAAAAACTGACACTGCAAAGATCAGACGGTTAACTGATTCTTTCGAATCGAAAAAATCAGCAGTTTATGATCAGATTTCAAACTTTCTGATCAAGGGTAAAATTGGCAAAAATAGTAACTCTTAATAAATTAAAAGCAAATATTCCAAAATGCGATCAAATACGTTCAAGTCTCTCACTAGCAACACATTCAAAACTTTTCGAAAAATTAGTGTTTAATTAGAATCAGATACTGGGCAGAGACGAACAAACTAGTGCCAGTAGAACAATCGCGATTTCGTCCAAGATGTCTTCTACCCACAATAGTTTTGTCAACTCATCAAGAAGTAAAAAAAACTGTTTGGCTACCGACATACCGACATTAGCTTTCTGTGTGGATCACGGTTGCCAGATTTCAGACTCGAAAATCCAGACGATTTCGGAATTCTTGTTTTTGAAAACCGAAAAAGCTCGGAAAGATTTGTGAGGATCAGTTTTAATAGTTCAAAGTGCGTTTTACTCGAACAGATTATGACTAACGATATTCTTGATATCCACAAAATATATTTGAATAAAAACTACACATCAAAGCATAGTTAACTTAATTGTAAGAACCTATCAATTGCACATTTCACTCTTAATTGTCACATCGTCTTTTTAGTACAGTAATATTCGTTCGAATGAATCAGTTTGAGTAACGCTGGTTTGTGGCAAAAGAAAATCATAAACTTATTTAGAGGACAATGATAAATTTAAACAAATTTCTAATTCAGCGGTAATGCGTTCTGTTGACATACAATTTCCTTTCTCATTATATAAATGCTTCATTGTCATAAAACCACTTTCCATATATGTCTTACATCAGGGAATTGAGAATAAAAAGAAATGAATTTGTGAATAGTCTTGTAGGTAGATCACTAAAAGGTAACACTAAACCTCTATCTAATTAGTAATCATTTACTTAGAATGTTAACCAACAAGTAAAATATAATTCAGATCGAAAGCATCCAAAATCCGGAAAAAACCGGAAAACTTTCAAAAGCTGGAATTTTTCTGGAAAATTCGAAGATCTGGCAACACTGGCGTGGATTCTCAGAAAGCTTATGATTGTGTATGGAACGCGGCTCTTTTGACTAAACTCTGGAGACTATGAATACTTCTTAGTATATTTAAAATAATAATTTATATTGGTTAAAAGAAAGGAGAGCGTACGTGGTGTTCGCAAAAAAGTCATCAGAAAATTTTTATATAAATATCGAACTGTCTCAGGATAGTTGTTTTATCCCTTATCTATTTATCACGTTTCATTGTGATTTAGTTCAGTGCATCGAAGCGAATTCAGGTCATCGTTTTTTGCAGATCATGTTTGTGTTATGATAAGATCCCCATCTCAATAAAACTAGCAGCGACGATGTAATACTTAGAACAAGAAGTTACGTGAGTATGCGATTGATTGTTTGCATACTCAACAAATGAAAATAACCCAGGTCAAAAAATCTGACAGTAAGTCTTGTACGATCATATGAAATCGTACAAAGAATCGTAGTCTCTGAAATCTTAGTGTCCGATTGTTCGCCCTGGGAACCTGTAGATGTGTCAAAAACAGTGGTGTCCCAGATCGAAATCACCCTGTCGGATCCTATCGGATCCGAAACTATCCGACAGCTTTCAACAGTTGGAATCCGATCGGATTCCGACTGTCGGAAATCATCGTTATCCGTTAGTTTCCGACGATTTCCGATGTCGGATTCCGACGATAGGATCCGGCGACATCCGACAATAGGATCCGATGATATCCGACAACGGGAACTTGTCGGATACGACGAAATCCGATGCTATGAAAGTATCTATCCCAGGTCGAAAAGTACGGGCCGGTTCCGGCAGGAAAACACCGGAAGTCGCCGGAACTGGGTGGCAGTATTCCGGCCGGAA